ATCCCCCCCCGCACCCTAATTCTCTGCTCCATCCCTGAGCCCTGATCCCCCCCGCACCCTAATCCTCTGCCCCAGCCCCGAGCCCCCTCCTGCATCATGAACCCCTCATCCTCTGACCCACAGCTCTCACCCCTGCATCCCCTCCTATCCCCAAACCCCCTCCCCCCTTCCCACACACCCCTCCTGCCCTCAAACTCCCTCCCAAAGCTTGCACCCCTCCCTTTGCACCGCCTCCCACCCCCAAACTCCATCCCAGAGCCTGCACACCCACACCCTGCCCCAGCCCGGAGCCTGCACCCAGCACCCAAACTCTATCTCAGAGCCTGCACCCCTCCTGCACCCTAAACCCCAGCCCAGGACCTGCACCCCAGACCTTCTTCCCCCCCTCCCAGACCCTTAGGCAGGTGGGGGGGGGGGGGTTCTGGGCACCATCAAAATTTCTACAACCCTGCCACCCATGCGAGTGGATAAGGGTCGGGGCAGTCAGGGGACAGGTAAGGTCCTAGGGGGGCAGTTAGGGTGGGGGTTCTCAGCAGGGGGCAGTCAAGTGACAAGAAGCAGGGGGGATTGGGGTTCTGAGGGGGGCAGTCGGGGGTGGGAAGTGGGAGGGAGTGGATGGGGGCGGGGCTAGGGCGGGGCTCCTCCCCCCAGTGTCCTCTTTTTTTGATTGTGGAAATATGGTAACCCTAACTCTGCACAACAACATTTGTCACAGGTCTTAATCTGAAATACCCTCAAGGAAGAGGGGAATTTCAGCTGAATTTTGTAAGTGGTATTGTACCAGCCTTCCAAAACTAGTATGGAAACTTACCAGCAGAGCCATAAAGTCTGCTTGCCCACCCTTTACCATGATGATGAAAAACAAGTATATGTTTTACTGTCCTGTTCTAGACAAGTGGAAGTTGGGGGGGATTGCAGCTTTGCTTCCATGGCTGTGGTTAGACAACTTTATCTGTATTTTATATTTCCTCTTTTGCCTATTGGCATATGTCAAGTCAGCACTTTCCTAGTGGGCAATCTATCAATTCAAAGTCTTTTTGCTTAGGCTGATTAGGAGCCACCCAAGTGTTTTCCTTTACTAGCATATGTGTATTTTCTTTTTCTTTCAAAACTCTGCAGTCTGGCCACAGAGATGGATGATTCCATGGCTATATTCTTAGTGTGGAAAAATGAAAGTTTTATATAAGAACCTTGTCAGGACAACTGATAAATGTCACCTGTTACTCCAGTTGTCTTGGGATAGCCAGGATCTTTTAAAAAAAAAAAAAAAAAGTACATGAGTCTGTAAATGTGAAAAAAAGTAGAATACAGGATAGGAATATGAATGCAAAATGTCCTATTGTTTCAAGTGTGAATTTTAATACTGTTTGGGTTGCTTTATGGAATGGACTCGTGGTTAAATCCCTTGGTAGAGAAGCCATTGTTAAAGTAGTATCACCCATTCCATTACAAGTCTTTTTTTAAAACTTTCTCACTGTCTAGGGAACAACTCTTTTGAGCCTGAAATTTCTCATGTTTAGTTTAATGCCATAGATTTGATTAAACAAACAAAAAAAAAAGCTATAAAATAACTTGCCCATATTGTTCTTGAATTGTATACATTATTTTGGGAAATGAATTCTTCTGGCTTCTTAAATTTCACTTTTTTTCATAGAATATCAAGGTTGGAAGGGACCTCAGGAGGTCTAGTCCAACCCCCTGCTCAAAGCAGGACCAATTCCCAGACAGATTTTTGCCCCAGATCCCTAAGTGGTCCCCTCAAGGATTGAACTCACAACCCTGGGTTTAGCAGGCCAATGCTCAAACCACTGAGCTATCCCTCCCCCCCCTTTTTGATGGAAAGGAACTTCAAACAGCTGGCACTTACACGTTCAAACTTCATGCTACTTTATGGGAAATAGTGCATATATTAGATTTCACTTACTTTTTGTCTTGCTTCCTGCTTCTGTCGGAATCTTAAAGTATAGTGATACCCTACAAAAGCTGGCTTGGTTAACTAAGCATGACTCTACAGGTGTCTGAGATTAGACGTACAAACAAATGATAGGAAGCAAATTCCCTGTGATGTTTATAGTTGGTTTGTATGGTACACGTGAATCAATGATTATTTTTCGTAGGTTTAATGATATGCTAGTCTTGTAAGAAGTAGAACAATTTGCTTTGCGTGTCTGTTACTAGCAGGCTTGTTTTTCAAGGACTGATGGATGAAATAGAAATGTGTTTATTCTGGGGTATGGAGGTTATTTTAAAAACAAGTTTCCAAATTCTCGCTCCATAGGTTGGTAAGGTTTTGGAGTTTGGCATAGGCAAAGCCTCCAGCTAGTGCCTTGTGGTGTTCAATAACAGCCTCATTAACAGACTGAGTTGTATTGTTTCCTATCCACTCCTCCTTGGCTGGTAAGATAGTGGCCACACTTTAAGGCTTCAAGTGTGGAGAAAAATGTGACACTTCTGGGATGTACACAGTTGTTAAACCTTTTTTTTTTTTTTGTCTGAGTGCTTGCAATGGTATGATACTATTGACTGAACCAGTCTTCTTCATATGTGCTACTGGTAGTCTTGGCCATGGTTTAACTGGTAACTTTCTTTGATCAGGTAGGATAGTTGTGAACAACAGTTACACTAAACTCTGGGACACAAACTTAACTAGGTTTTTCAGACAAAATATTTTGATTAGTTGTGAATGTTTTCAGAGTACCTCTGATTAAAACAAGTTCTAATTTGGAGGCCATTAGTCATGTCTCCCATTTAAAACTGTGTACTTTTTAAGTAAAAATGCCCAATTTACTAATGTTTGACAAATGGCTACTACTCAGCATGCATAGTAACTTTCTATTTGAATATATTCTAGCAAACAAGTATGCTCCTTCCTGATTGAAGGGAAAACCAATGCAGTGAGGAAATGATTTTCAAGGTTCCAAGGAGTAATTATAAATCAGGAGAGGAAGGGGGAAAATACTCTTACAAAAATACTAGAGTTGTGTATAATAGAAATAAAAAGTTCTTTTTGAAAATCCTGTTTAGAATGGAACTAAATCCATGCAGCCACACTGGCTTTTGATAACTTTTGGTAGAAGATAAATTTCAGACTGAAGACATTTGTATTATCTCGTTTACAGTGCTTTTTCCATTATAAAGATTACTCGAATCATTTGTTCTTATTCATGTTTAGTCTGTTACCTTGTTTCTCATAGCATACATGATGCAGTTTTGTTTATTTTCTTCTGTTTAATTTTTTTTCACAGCAAGGGGATATTTTATCTTATACTTCCTTACACTTATCAGCATTCATTTCCTCTTTTGGCATTCAGATCATGATGTGATGTAACAGAACATAGTAAGAAAGACTTCCCAGGTTATATTTCCTTGAAATATTTAAATGGAATCTGTTAGAGCAGTAGGAAGTATCTGTGCTGCATTTCTTAAAATATAGAAAGGCCCCGTGTTGTGGCAATGGTTCTTTCAACGAAGAAGGGTTGGATGTGCCTCTCTTGGAACTACAATAGTCACTGTCCCTCATTGTGGTCCAGAGTTGGCTTCCTGAAGAATCCTCTTTTCACTGCCTCTCAGGGTTCATTGATTTAGTTCCTATGGCCAGGGACACACAATAAGGATTCCCTTACTTGCAGCACACTGTCTCCATCAGTCTGTAGAACAGTTGTCACCAACCCATCGATTGCAATTGACTGGTCGATCCTGGAGCCTCTGCCAGTCGATCGCCATTTCCAGGTCGCTAAAAGTCCAGCGGGGCTCAGGCAGGCTGCCTGCCGTGGCCCCACACTGCTCCTGGAAGCAGCTGGCTGCTGGCACGTCTCTGTGGCTCCTGGGGGGGAATGAGGGGTGGCTTTGCGTGCTGCCCCCAGCACTGTCCCCACATCTCTCATTGACCGGTTCCTGTCGAACGGGAGCTGCAGAGTCGGTGCTTGTGGGCGGGGGCAGCACACGGAGACCTGCTGCCTTCCCCCCCCCTCCCCCGCCGCAGAGACGTGCCAGCAGCCAACTGCTTCCGGGAGCAGTGTGGGGCCATGGCAGGCAGGCAGCCTGCCTGAGCTCCGCTGCACTACCAGCTGGGAGCTGCCTGTGGTAAGCACCTCACATCCCCTCCCATGCTCCAGTCCGGGGCCCACTCCTGCACCCAAACTCCCTCCCAGAGCCCGCACCCCTCACTTACACCCCAACACTGTGCACCAGCCCAGAGCCCCCTCCTGCACCCAAACTCTGTCCCAGAGCTTGGACCCCTCACTCTCTCCTGCACCCCAACCCCCTGCCCCAGGCTCAGGCTCAGCCTGGAGCCCCCTCCCACACTCCGAACCCCTCGGCCCCAGCCCAAAGCCTGTACCCCTTGCCCAAGCTCAGTAAAAGTGAGTGAGGGTCTCATACACCTCACACCCCCTTCTCTCCCCAATCCCTTGCCCTGAGCCCCTTCCTGCACACCGCACCCACTCTCTCACTCCCTCCTGCACCCCAACCCACTACCCCGGCCCTTCATACAATTTCCCCACCCAGATGTGGCCCTCGGCCCAAAAAGTTTGCCCACCCCGTTCCAGACCAAGGCTTTTTCTCCAAATGCATGCATTAAGGTATCGCATATGTGTTAAATGACCAAATTAGACGACATTTTTCCGTAAGTGCGGGTTTGCGTAAGTCGGGTTTGTGTAACCTGGGGAGCGGCTGTATATTGATTTGCTCAATTTGTTTTTCATGATCTTTATCTTTCTTTGCAAATATCAATTTATCCAGCTTTATTCATAAGGTAGATATAATCATTCCCATTTTTACAACTATGTAAAAACTGAGAGGTTTATGGGACTTGGCCAAGGTCAGGGCCAAGCTGCCAGTAGAACAGAGGTCATGACTCAAAGTCCCCTGTTCTAAATACTGAATTGCACTCCCACTTCAACTAGGCCAGTCCATCTTCAAGAATTAGATTAATAACATAAAGGATTTAAAATACCTTTTGCAATACAGAGGGCTAACTTCATTTCTCTCTCTCCTTCCAGGATATGTTTCACACTCTGTGCTGGCTGTCTGTACTTACAGAAGATATTTAAAAACAAACATTTTTGTCAAAGATTTTGATTCCAGTGGAATCTGTGCTTTAGATTTTGTCTTGTGAATTAACTTCTGAAACAATGCCTGTACAAGCTCCACAATGGACGGATTTTCTCTCCTGCCCAATTTGCACACAAACTTTTGATGAAACGATCCGGAAGCCCATCAGCTTGGGCTGCGGCCACACTGTCTGCAAGATGTGCCTCAACAAGCTCCACCGTAAGGCATGCCCTTTCGACCAGACCACTATCAATACAGATATTGATCTCCTCCCTGTGAACTCAGCCTTGTTGCAGCTAGTGGGTGCTCAGGTAACAACGCACATTTTTCTTTTTTGTTCTTACTTAGTTTTTCCTTGCATTTTTTTAAGGCAAGAACAAGTGAATGAAAATTGTGGGACTAATGATGGTTGCTAGATGGGTGTAGAGCAGAGAAACACCTGTGTGACTTTACCAGTTGCAGGTTTCGGGCCTGCAATGTGCTGAGGCAGTATTGCTTATTATAGTAATTCTTAACCTTATTCTACCTGGGGCTTAAATCATTCCTGATTTCTTTCTGTGGCCAACACAAGCCCATGGTACTTTGTGGTGATAAAGGATTGGGGTCATTCCAAAAACTGTCTGGCTTCTGAGTGGTGAGCCAGGGTGGTGGGAAGGAAGGGCCTGGATGGGTGTTGCACGGAGAGAATGCTGAGGATGGGTAGGGGATTTTTCCTTTTCACCTCTCCTATCCACCCATTTCTTATTTCTGTTTAGGAAGCAGCAGAAAGTTGCTCCTGACATGCCCTTTCCCACTAAGAGAAGATGAGGAGCTGCAGTTGTGATAGTAGAGTGATTTGTGTGTGCGTGTGTGCTGATGAGCTGCATTGCAGTTGCATAGAAGTTGGAGGGGGTGCAGCTACAGAAGGAGGGTGAAGGGAGCAGATTGCTCCTTTTCACTGGCTCCTGCCATGTACTAGAGTCTATGGGATTTTGCTACATTTTTTTCTTTTTGGTTTCTCAGCTGGTGTACCCACTTATGGGTTTCCTATTAGTATCTGTTAATTACATCAGAAGACTAAAAATCAGGTTCTCTGAATCATTGGCAAAGTCAGGAAATCTGGGGTGCTGGACAAGTTGCTTACTCCATTGCTGGCTCTGTTTCCCTTTCTGTAACATGTATGCTGCTACTTCAGAAAAGCTGTCGTTAGGCTTCATTAATGTTTGCAAAGCACATTAAAGGATTTCAATCTTTTTTAGGTGTATAGGAACTAGAGCTGTCAAGCGATTTAAAAAAATTAATCGCGATTAATCGTGCGATTAAAAAATTCGCGATTAATCGTGCTGATAAATAATAGAATACCATTTATTTAAATATTTTTGGATGTTTTCTACATTTTCAAATATATTGATTTCAATTACAAAACAGTACAAAGTGTGTACAGTGCTCGCTTTATATTTTTGATTATAAGTATTTGCACTGTAAAAGAACAAAAGAAATAGTATTTTTTAATTCTCCTAATAAAGTACTGTAGTGCAATCTCTTTATCGTGAAAATTGAACTTACAAATGTAGAATTATGTACCAAAAAAACCCACACTCAAAAATAAAACAATGTAAAACTTTGGAGCTTGCAAGTCCACTCAGTCCTACTTCTTGCTCAGACAAACAAGTTGGTTTACGTTTGCAGGAGATAATGCTGCCCGCTTCTGCTTTACAATGTCACCTGAAAGTGAGAACAAGCATTCTCCTGGCTCTGTTGTAGCTGGCGTTGCAAGGTATTTACGTGCCAGATATGCTAAACATTTGTGTGCCCCTTCATGCTTGAACCACCATTCCAGGGAGCACATGTCCATGCTCGATAACAATTCAAAGCAGCATGGGCCGACCCATGTTCATTTTCATTATCTTATTCAAATGCTACCAGCAGAAGGTTGATTTTTTCTTTTTTGGTGGTTCGGGTTCTGTAGTTTCCACATTGAAGTGTTGCTCTTTTAAGACTTCTGAAAGCATTCTCCACACCTCGTCCCTCTCAGATTTTGGAAGGCACTTCAGATTCCTAAACCTTGGGTTGAGTGCTGCAGCTATCTTTAGAAATCTCACATTGGTACCTTCTTTGCGTTTTGTCAAATCTGCAGTGAAAGTGTTCTTAAAACATACAACATGTGGTGGGTCGTCATCCGAGACTACTATAACATGAAATATATGGCAGAATGCGGATATAACAGAGCAGGGGACATACAATTTTCCCCCAAGGAGTTCAGTCAAAAATTTAATTAATGCATTATTTTTTTTAATGAGCATCATCAGCATGGAAGCATATCCCCTGGAATGGTGGCCAAACCATGAAGGGGCACACGAATATTTAACATATCTGGCATGTAAATACCTTGCAATGCCAGCTACAAAAGTTTCAGAGTAGCAGCCGTGTTAGTCTGTATCCGCAAAAAGAACAGGAGTACTTGCGGCACCTTAGACACTAACAAATTTATTTGAGCATAAGCTTTCGTGGGCTACAGCCCACTTCATTGGATGCACTATATGTTCCATTATATGCATCTGATGAAGTGGGCTGTAGCCCACGAAAGCTTATGCTCAAATAAATTTGTTAGTCTCTAAGGTGCCACAAGTACTCCTGTTCTTCTAGCTACAAAAGTGCCATGCAAATGCCTGTTCACTTTCTGGTGATGTAAATAAGAAGAGAGCAGCATTATCTCCTGTAAATGTAAACAAACTTGTTTGATTTAGTGATTGGCTGAACAAGAAGTAGGACTGAGTGTAAAACTTTAGAGCCTAAAAGTCCATTGTTTTGTTTTTGAGTGCAGTTATGTAACACACAAAAAATCTACATTTGTAAGTTGCACTTTCAGGATAAAGAAATTGCACTACAGTACTTGTATGAGGTGAATTGAAAAAATACTATTTTTCTTTTGTTTATCATTTTATAATGAAAATATTTGTAATAAAAAAATCTACACTTCGATTTCAATAACACAGAATACCATATATATGAAAATGTAGAAGAACATCCAAAATATTTAATACATTTCAATTGATATTCTATTGTTTAACAGTGCCATTAAAACTGCAATTAATCGTGATTAATTTTTTTTAGTTAATCACGTGAGTTAACTGTGATTTAATTGATAGCCCTAATAGGAACATTCATGTAAGTATTGTGAATTTTCCAGGCCTGGGCATTTCCTGAAAAGGATGCATCAGTTGTGGCCAAATATCTGGATTTATGATGGTGATTCTTGCAGGGAGTGCTGTTGCGCAAATCAAGACCATGGCTACAAGAGTGGAAAATATAGTGAATGCCACTTTCAAGTTTTCATCTTTCCATTGGTCTAGAAAACTAACATTTGATGATGATAGACCTTCCAAGGTAGACTTTTAAACATGACTGCTGGGTGTTGCCGAGTGTGTTGGGAGGCTTTCAGGTGAATTGATCAGACAATAAAGGGACAGGTGGTGGTGTGTGTGTGTGTTTGTTTTAAGAGGAAACTTTAATGACTTTTGCTTGTGCTTTATTTTATTTTAAATCCTTCACCAAAAACAAAATCCTTTTTGATGAGAGGGAAAATTGCAGTGTCCTGACCACTTAAGTATTAAAGATTCCATGGCAATCTTTGCTAGATTTAAGGATGTTAAAGAAATTCTAGCTACAGTCTAATGGATTTATTGCTGTATAGTTTCAGTTGGATGAGGTATTTTAGAAAGGAAGGATGGTCTTGTGATTAAGGCACTGGATTGGGTTTCAGGAAATTGGGGTTAAATTTCTGACTCTGTGTCAGACTTCCTGTGTGAATTTGGGCAGTTGGCTTAATTTCTCTGAGCCCCTGTTCCATACTTGTAAAGAGGATGTTTTCTTTCTCTCCATCTCTTTTTAGATTGTGAGCTCTTCAGGGCAAGGACTGTCTGTCTCCATGCATATTTACAGTGCCTGGCACTAAGAGGTTGTGATCTTGGTTGAGGCTTCTAACCATTGCTGTAATACAATAACTGTTCTTAACTTTTGTCCTAAACATCAAGGAGGCTACCACTTTGCCCTAGTCTTTCTCAAATGCAGGGCACGTTGATTATTTAGAAAAAAGGCATTTGAGAGAGGCTACAAACACTTTGAGCTCTTTCATACTGAAAGGGTGTGTTCTCTTTGGCACATCTCCACAAAACTGAGCTGGGATCAACAAAACATAATTATGAAGTATATGTCACTCAGGAGTATTCTTGACAGCCTTCATAGTCTAATACTGCGCTGTTCTGGATTCCACTTCCCAGTTAACACTCTTTGCTTGACCCTCCCCCCACTTCTTGTAAATCTTCTGAGTTTCAATCCCTGTACATCTAATGGCTCTAATGTCTTAAAAAGAGAAGCATGAAATCCAGAAAGCTGAAGTTTAATTGTAGAAGGAAATGATGCAGGAGACACTTAAAACTTGTATCTGGGGAAAAGGAGCCCCTTCTTTCAGTTTAGTACTTTTGTAAGGGATTACCAATTTATAACTGTTTATTTTCTTGGGTTCATTCCTGCATGTGTTTTTAAAAATAATAATTTTAAGAAGCAAAACTATTTTAAGGGGAGTAAAAGTAATGACAGGATTCACTTAAAGCAAATGGGTCACATTGGCCTGTTTGTGTACCAGCATCATTGGTGAAGTAAGCAGAACATTATGTGTTTCTGGGAATAATGTGCTAACTGATAGATACAGCCCAGGCATTAAAAGAACACTCTGGTTTTTTTGTTATACTTATTATGCTTTTGTGGTGGTAGAGAGTATAAAGTTTGTTTGTTTGTTTGTTTTTTGTTTTTGTTTTAAAAACTTAAAATAGAGAAGAAATTCTTAAGGTGGTCAAAGTGGTTTATTTAAGTATCCCTTCAGTGCTTACTCTGATTAGCCATTTTAAATATCTACCAGACAGGTCTTTTGAGGTTGTGTAGTCCCTGCTTCGACATACAGTCTCTCTGCCCTCCTGCTTTTTTCTGACACACACGAAACTGCAATGTGCACATTCCAAACAGGTGACATCAAATGGCCAAAGTAAACTAGAATCCACATGTCAAGCGTTAAGTTTCTTATTCAGTCCAGTTCCCGATGGGCTAAGTATAGTTCCATGCACTAGATGTAGCAGGAATGAATGTGACAACATAGCAGGCGGGGTACACATAACGAATAGCTTTCTCTTCCAGATTAACGCCCTCTTTCTCCAGAGGTGGATTTTTTTTTTAAGTGTCATCAGTTAAATTGGTTGTACAGCAGGCCATGTCAGAAAAATGAAATGCTGTGTGTGAATGTAAAACTTTGTATGTTTTCACAAGCCCTGTGGAAGACAATAAATGGGTAGAGTTCTACCCTCTTTGTTCAGAATGAAGCATTATAAAAGCTTTACTGCATGCAGTTCTTTCAGCATTTTGTGTTTAAAAAAACGTGCAAAATTGAAGTACAGAAATATTTAAAGAGAGAAAGATGTGCAACTAGAGAGCTCATACCATCATATTTGGAGGTATTGCATTGAAATTCATCATTAAGTTGAGCTCCTTTAAGAGGGAATTCTGTGCTGAGGAACGCTGCCTGGCACATTTCTGGAACTTAAAGCTTTGAGCAGTGTTTCTTGCCATAAACCAAAATGTGCATCTGTTTGAAAGGGGGGAGGAGTTAGAAGGAGAGAAAGGGAGGCTGACAGCTGGAATTGGAGAAAACTGGCTATGTCTTTGCTTAGTATATCTTTTATTCTGTGCAATTAAACTCTTTTTTTAATATAACAGTTATTGTAAAGCAGAGGTCCCCAAACTGTGGGGCATGCCCCCCTAGGGGGTACAGAGAAACGTTCAGGGGGCACAATGCGGCCCAGGCCATCCCCCACAGAAGATGGGGAGGGAGTGCCGCGCAGCTACCGGCCCCTGGGCTGCAGCTCCGTTCCTGGTCCCCACCCCCAGCCTCAGCCACCTTACCCCTTGTCCAAATCCAGTGGCACTGGAACATTTTTAATAGCGGGGATGCTGAAAGCCAGCCCCTTACCCCTGTCCGTGCCCCCCCTCCCCCAGCTGGGGCTGGGAGCAGAGCCATGTCTCTGGGAGGGGGAGACCTGGATAGGGGTAAGCGGGGTCAAGGCTGGGGCCAGCAGCTGAGGCGGCTGCAGTACCCCCCACACCCTTAGTACCCGTGCCTATGTCCACATCTCACCTCGGGAGCTGCAACCCCAGCTCCCAGTGGGTGGGGAGCATGGATGGGGTAAGTTGGGGTGTGACCCTGAAAAGTTTGGGGACCACTGCTGTAAAGGATGAGGCTGATACCCCTCCTCCAAAACAAAATTTTTTAATTATCAATTCAGAATCTTGTAGTTGCTCTCAGCCTGTATGAAATGTATCCTTAGCATTCTTTTTCAAGCCCCACCCCATATATTTCTTCATAACCAACTTCTGCCTGCAACTGCAGTTGCTTGTGCTTATGGACTACATTCCAGTGTCATTCTCAGTATTATTAATTGTAGGGGAAGATGCATGGAAAATAAAGGCATATTTAAAGCACCGAAATATCCTTGATATTTTGCCTGCCTTTCCTTAAACTAACTAGCTCTCTTGTAGGACTAGAGTATTACACAAGACTAGTTTGTATTGTGAGCCCTGGTGGGTTTGGGGAGGGGATGGGGAAATGAGGTGATAGAATGTTTTGATGAAGATGAAAATAAAGTAATGCTTCAGTGCTATCTATTTTGAGCATCTAAAGTACTTTGCAAGCACTAAAGAATATAGGGTGTCACTCACTTTGTGAATAAAGTGGTGAATTGCTAATTTTGCAGATGGGGAACTCAAGGCACTCTGAGCATAAGTGACTTAGGGCTTGTCTACACTGGCAATTAACAGCGCTGCAATTTTCTCGCTCAGGGGTGTGGGAAAAAACACACCCCTGAGCGCAGCTAATTGCAGCGCTGTAAAGTGCCAGTGTAGACAGTGCACCAGTGAATGTCTACACTGAAGCATTACAGCTGTGCCGCCTTAACGTTTTAAGTGTAGACTTGCTCTAACTCAAGTTTCCCTCAGTATGGAGCGTTACACTGTCTATCAAACTGCCAGGTTATCTCTCTCACATTTAGCAGTTACTTTGCAAAAAGTAAAAGTAAAATAAACTCTACATTTCAAGCTGAGCTTTCCAGTGGGAAGGGGAGAAACAGAGATTGAACGTCTAGGTATCACTTAAAAAAAAGAATCTTGGATTTAGAATTGTTCATTGTGTAGCTTTACTTGCCTTTGGGTAGCTTTTTTATGTTTGTTTTTTGTTGTTTGTTTTTTGTACTATTTGGGGCTGGGGAAAGCTTTCTGGTTGGTTGCCTAGACAGTCCTGGTCTCTCACTAGACCAGTTCTGCTGTGTATAGCATTCCTAACCAATGCTGTGAATGCATGCTAAATCTACCCTGATTCAGGATAATAATCCATTGCTGCCCGCTGTGTTCCTGTCTCACGCCTATTCCAAACCATCTTTCTGCTATATGTAATAATGTTGTTGCATTTCACGTTGTGCCATAGTCCCTAGATTGAGTGAAGCAGAGTTAAATGGAAACATGCACACAGTAATCTTACAGTAAGGATGCTGTAGAGTGCTAGCCTCAGCACAAATGTAGATAGATGCACATGGTTAGACCTAGACGTGTTCTGTTTGGGTACTTTCCCAGACAGAAGCAGATTGTTACAATGACATAGGTTTTGTGAAGGAAACATAGTATTAAAATGATGATTAATATTGAAGGTGTTGGTTAAACTGGTGTCTAGAGATTTGGGAGAAAGGCAGTCTGGGGTCGCTCTTATTGTAGCATTTTATGGTAGTGACCGCTGACTAAAGTGGTAAAAACATTTCATCCTAAAGCCCTCTTTCACTCAGATATGAAGGAAATTGTATGAGAAAGTTATAGCTAAGATTCTTGCTGGGAGGGGAGGAGGTAGATTGCAGTTCCAATATAGTAGTAGGTTTCAGAGTAGCAGCCGTGTTAGTCTGTATCCGCAAAAAGAACAGGAGTACTTGTGGCACGTTGGAGACTAACAAATGTATTTGAGCATAAGCTTTAATATAGTAGTAGTAGTCTGAGGAAGCCTGGAGGCCAGGATTTAACTTGTTTTTAAAATTTAACTTGTCTTCTCAAGTGTGTGCGCACGCACATTGTGGTGGTGGGGAAATATTAATTTTAACCTTATATGGAGGAGATGACACTGTTCTGCGTAAACTAGGAGAAGTTCAGCTCTATAAAACAGCTTAAATTTTTTTTATTTTAACCACCAAAAAAAAAATTAATGCATTGTGAATGTTATGTAACTAAATACCTTTTTTGAATGCAAATGCAAACTTAAGTTGAGAAAACACATCATATTGTCAAAAATACTTGTGGACATCAGTATGATTATACACTAATATCTCATTCAGGTTTAAAGATCCTCCCCAATAAAGAAACTGTATCAAAGCCAGGAAAAAATTTCAGTGTCCCATGGGTGGTTTTGATTTCTGATGAATTAGCTGAAAAAAGAAATGAATGCCTCCTTCTAACACTTTTAAACAAAACAGCTAACCTATTGTGGTATTCGACTAATCGCTTATGCTGATAGTGGTGTGTGTACACGTAGCACAAAGTCACTAGTTGTTTACTGTGTTTATAATCTGGCCCTTTTTCCAAGTGTGGCCTGATACATGTGCTGTTATCATTATTTCCCTAAACTAAAAATGACAGTAGCCCTAAGTCAGTGGTTCTCAACCAGGGGTACACAGAGGTCTTCCGGTGGGGGTACATCAACTCATCTAGATATTTGCCTAGTTTTACAACAGGCTACATAAAAAGCAATAGAGAAGTCAGTACAAACTAAAATTTCATACAGATAATGACTTGTTTATACTGCTCTATATACTATGCACCGAAATGCAAGTACAATATTTATGTTCCAATTGATTTATTTTATAATTATATGATAAAATGAGAAAGTAAGCAATTTTTCAGCAAGTGTGCTGTTACACTTGTATTTTCATATCTGATTTTGTAAGCAAGTAGTTTTTAAGTGAGGTGAAACTTGGGGTACGCAAGAGAAATCAGACTCCTGTAAGGGATACAGTAGTCTAGAAAGATTGAGTCACTGCCTTAAGTGATCCAAGTTAGGGGAGGAAATAAAGCAATTACATGTATTAGTTTGTGTGCTTCATCTTAGGCACAAGTCTAATGTGCAGTGCAGCAGTTTGACCATTTGACTTTCTATAGAAAATTTTAGAGCAGCCAAGTCCTCAATGTGGATCTGCAAATACCTGCAAACCAAACCAGCTGGTAGGTCTAATTTTAGGCCTACTAGCTTTGAGTGTCCCTTTCTAAATATCTTGCTTTAGCATCAAAGACTGATCACCAGTACATATGAAACTACTGGTGTGTTGCTTTAATATCTGATGTACTAGCTGGTGTTCCAGTAAATTATAAGTGTTCTGCTTTTATCATTTCAACCACTAAATCAAAATGGTTGTTGCCACACATTCCAAGTAAACTTGAAATCATTGCAAGCTTCGGCATTTCTTTTAAACTTCATTCTAAGGCATACATTGATTTGTGCCCCAAGCTCACTGAAGTGCCCTTGTGCTGCCATATAATACAACTAGCTATGTAAAGAGAAACTGTTATATTGTGTGATGATGCTAAAAAGTCTGTTTAATACCAATCAATTTTTAAAAGCTTCAGGCTGAAAAAGCTTTTCTAGTGTTAAGAATACCATGAATGAAGTGAATTGTCAAGGGTTCTAAAACTGGAGCACGTTCCCACATTAATGTTGTGGAAAGGTTGGGTAGGTGGGCGTGAGAGAGTATTTGACACTGAAGAGCTTGGTATGGTGTTTTTGTGTGTCTGTGCATACTGTAGTGTGTAAGTTTACCTTCATCTGTTTTCAGGTTCCTGAGCAGCAGCCAATTACTTTGTGCAGTGGAGCAGAAGACACCAAACATTATGAGGAGGCCAAGAAATGCGTGGAAGAACTAGCATTGTACCTCAAACCACTCAGCAATGCGAGAGGTAAGTAAGTCTTGCACTGCCCTACTTCCTTGGAAGGGAGAACTGGCAACAGATAATAGTTCATCCCTTCTTTTAAAAAGACCTTACACCATCAAAATAATTCTAGTGAAACCTGCTTGAAAAAAGGTCAAGTCCTGTTAAAGAAATGGGTTTTGTAAGCACTAAAGCTATTTCTTCAGTACAAAAAGAGTAGAGGTTTGAGAGAGGGAGAGAGCATGATATCTTGCTGTAAAATCATAATGATACAAGTCTCTGGTAGCGAGATGTAGCGAGTCAAGGTCATCCCTATACTTTTGACCTCCACTGGCTACATTGAGGTAAGTCACCTGTGTCTTGTCTTAACTATCTCACAGTAAAATGGGGGAGGGATAGCTCCGTGGTTTGAGCATTGGCCTGCTAAACCCAGGGTTGTGAGTTCAATCCTTGAGTGGGCCTCTTGGGGATCTGGGGCAAAAATCAGTACTTGGTCCTGCTAGTGAAGGCAGGGGGCTGGACTTGATGACCTTTCAAGGTCCCTTCCAGTTCTAGGAGATAGGATATCTCCATTAAATTAAAAAAAAAAAATTAAAAACTCCATTTTGTAGTGAAAATATAGCCTGAAACGGGTAAAATTTTGTTTGATGTCCCATGGGTCAATCCAGGAAAGTTGGACTTAATATTGCCCAACTAGCAGATGGGAACAGGAAGTCAAACAACTTCAATGTCATATTATAACAGGGTGGCTTGACTCTTAATGGCTGGAGGGCTGGAGCTAGCCAACACTGATTGCACATCTCCTTATATAGGATCTGGATCCATCTAAGTAATCCTGTTTGAACAATTGTAATAACAATAGACCTCTGTTATTTAAATATCTGTATGCTGGTCTAGGTAATTGTAAATGTCTATACGTTAGACACCTGCTAGCCAGAGATAGCTACGAAGGATGAGAGACAGAGAGATGAGGCCTCATCAGTGAGTCTGGGGTATAGTAGGTACTAGTAATACTTGGGTTTTTCTTTAGAGCAAACACATTTTTTGCCTTTTACTAAAGATTTCTATCAGGCTACTTTCTCTAGACCTGCTCAAGGGTTTCATCTTTCATATCTGCCTCTGGTTAAAAGGTTTTTGACAAATTTATCTTCACCCCCATTCTGAGTCTCCTGGCAAAGCTATGAGCAGCTGAAGCACTAAAGCTATCTAGTGAGTAGGGTTTTGTTTTTGTTTTTCTTCAAGCACTGCCTGAAATGAACCTTTCAAAGTTCACAGTGCATTTTTGACAGGTTTGGATGTAATGTTCAATGTACTAAAATGAAGTGCAGCAGGAGCTGGTTAGAAGATGTTTAAAGTGCAAAACACAGAAGTTGAAAGTTGGCTTGGCTAGAGGAATGTGATACCTATAGGGCATTTAGATAATCCTGCAGAAGGAGAAATTTAGCTCACTGTCTTTGTATGCTTTTTTTCTGAAGGTGTGGGTCTGAACAGTACCACTCAGAGTGTGCTAAGTCGCCCCATGCAGAGGAAGCTTGTAACGCTAGTTCACTGCCAGCTAGTAGAGGAAGAAGGGCGGATCAGGGCCATGCGTGCAGCACGGTCACTGGGTGAAAGAACAGTCACAGAGCTCATTCTTCAACATCAAAATCCCCAGCAACTCTCTTCCAACCTCTGGGCTGCAGTGAGGGCCAGGGGCTGCCAGTTCCTTGGGCCAGGTACGTACCAGTGAGATGACGAGTTCTTCTGCAGTAGCAGGATTCAGGGATGGGGGGGGGGGGGAGGGAGGAAAGATGGCTGGAAACTGCCTTGGCAGTGTTATTGGGCGGTGGCTTCTCTTCAGATATTTTGCAGTAGGTCTTCTGATTTAATGATAACTTTGAACTATTTTTATTGTCTTTCAAATATTTTTAGGGCTTATTCTGTCTTTTTGTTGTTTTTGCAAAGCTCAGAAAAATCTGATGTCTTTAGTTGTTGACATGAACAGAGAAGACTGAGTAGTTTACCTCATGGTGGATTTTAAAAATCACTAACTTTAACCATAGTTTAAATCAGCGAGCAGGAAACCTTCATTTAAGTGATTAATTTGCATTTGTACTTTAGGAAAGAGAAAAGAGAGGTTGATAACCATTAAAACATATTGATTTGCAACTAAATAAAGCTTCTACACTAAATTTGGTACTTCTTTTTGCTAGCCAGGAGAGCACACAATACTTATACATGGCTATATAAGCAATTATAACTAAGATTAAGATTTTTGTCATGGTTATTTTTAGTAAAAGTCAGGGACAGGCTGTGGGCAATAAACAAAAATTCACAGAAGTCCATGACCTGTCTGATTTTTACAAAAAATAATGGGCCGGGGGAGGGGCCTGACAGGGGATGACTGAAGCCTGGGGTGGGGGAGAGGGGCAGCACATTGCTGCTCCTGCCGGTCTCCCGCCATCCAGGGACTGAGGTGGAAAATGTCACAAAGGTCTCTGGAAGTCATGGAATCCATGACCTCTGTGACATAAGCTTATCCTTAATTGTAGCTAAATGTGCATATTCTTAATTTTTGTTTTTACTGTGTTAGAAAATGGTGAATGGTGCATTTTTTTATGTAATAAATTATTTAATTTTTACTTGTGATTTCTGTACACCTGTATTTGGATGGAAATTAAAATAAAGTACATAATTTTTTTAGTTAAATATAACTACCTTAATGTGTTTGTATACATCAGAGAAAAGGATTATCAAAAAATTATTTGCATTTAAAACTGATTTATTAAACAAAGGAAGTATCTGTAGCTAGTGACTTGAACTGATTGTTTGTTTGTAGTCATCACATCCTTCAAGATTTTAGGACTGGTAGATTTCATCCTCCGGTACCTCATTTTTATTCATAGATTGGAAAAGGAAAACAAAGTTTCCTGCTTTTACATCTCCCAGTTTATTTCTCAACTTTGAGTCAACTAGTCAATGAATGGAACTAGTTGAAATAAACTGAATTAAAGTACTCTGTACCTGCAGACAAGGCTCTTGCTGTCGAAAGCTGGTCTAGCACTTCAACAAACTTCTGCGAGTTCAGTGATTTGACATTCTTTAAAACTTTGGCAGCAATCATTTAGTGGTTAAATTATTTTAATTTAGTTTAAATAATTGTAATAGATTAGAATAAGTTTAGGCCTCAATATAGGCTCTCATAATTAAACATTTATTTTAAATAAGTTTATTTTTAAAAGGAAACTTA